CTCAAAATTACCTTTTAAACTGAATGAAGGTATCAAGTAGATTTAGTTTCTAGATTTGTTTTCAGAGAATACTGATATCGAAAAAAGTTGAAAATTATACATAACTTCAGAAATTATTGATTTATGTAAGAGTTTTATGTTTGGTAAGAGACTGTGACCCAAATATTTGGATTTAGAAAAACCTTTGTTGTTTTTGAAAAGTTTAAGAATCTAAGGAAACATCTGGAAGAATAAATAGGTAAGACTATTTTATAAAAGTAGATCTTGAAATAGTGGACTAAGTACTAAAAAGTCCTTCTGGATATTAAAATCTATTCTGAAATTAAAATAACTTTTATGATGCCGTTATAACATGAAACACAGTTCAATAAAATAGATCTGATGGAGCAGAACTGATTCTAGTATATGTAAATTATAATATAATATGGGAAGCATCACAAATCAATCAGAAACAGATGGACAAGTCAAAAAATTGTGCTGACCAAAAAATTCAGTGTCATGGAAAGTTGGGAAGAGACTGTTAGAGCCTTAAGAGACACAACAAAGTGTAACATACAGACTTTGTTTGGTCTCAAATGCAAAGAAATCAGTTGTAAAAAGGCACCCCTAGGCTATTGGGAAGATCTGAATATGAACTGAGTACTAGTTGATATTAAGAAATTATTTTTTTTACCTGTGATAAAGGCATGGTAATTATATTTTGAAAAAGAGTGTATCTTTCTTGGGTAGAAAAACATACTAGATTATTTACAGTTGAAACAACCAGATATCTGGGATTTGTTTTAAAATATTTGAGATTAAAAAAGAAAAAAAGAGTGAAAGAGAGAGAGATGAAATAAGAAAGACAAAATAACTATTGGTAAAGTATGGGAATTCATTACATTATTTTTGCTATTTTTATGTAGTTTTGAAAATTTCTATAACAAAAAGTTTTTTAAAAAACACTGGAATCATTTCTTCAAGTAAGTCTTACACTGAAACAAGATAAAAGGCAGAGTGTTTTACTGGAGGAAGAGAGAGAAGAGAGCTACAAACTTCTAGTTCTTCACCCTTTCCCAAGAGAGTCCCTGAAATGTCTCTGTGAAACATGGTGTGAAAACTGCGGCCTCTGGTTCAGCTCCCTCAGCTGACAGCAGAGGCTCTCTCCAGGCACCATAGTGTCGGTGCTGACTGTCCCCACCCCACAGCTGACCTTTTTATAAAAGTGTCCTCTGCACTCAACTCCCTGTGCAACCCCCTCCTCACCTGCCCAGGTAGCCATCTCCCTTATACACACTTACTTCACCCCTCCCCTTGCCCTTGGTGCCTGAGAACTTGGCAGATATGTTACTCATCTTTTGATTTTTTGTCTTTATATGCAGAATATTTTATCGTAAAACTAACCATAGTCTTCATCTTAATAAAGGATGGTTTTAAAAAAGACAATAGTGTAGAGGCAATTGGTCAACCAGTCAGAAAGAAAGTCAGTAGATGCGTTAACGTATGTCCTACTCCAAAGACTCAGGAGTGGTAAAACATCAAATGTAAAGTAAAAATAAAGCCATAAAATGAGCAGCTGAAATAAAATTGAGGTTGAATATCAAATCTCTAGGTGGAAGGTGTGATTTTCTAATCTTGAAAGTAAAGACCAAAATTTTTAGTACACAGAGTCTAAGAAATTTCATCCCCAAAACATACAAATGTTTTAAAGGTTAAAATCACATAATAAGCTAGAAAAAGAGCCATAGCAAAAAAAGACAAGTGGTTAAACTTTTTATTATAAAAAAGCTCTTAAAAATACTGACTACAAATCAGCAAAAGGCAAAGCTCACAAATAGTCTTTTCATATGAAAAAAAGTATCATAGGCATATCTGTATAAATATATAATTCTTGTAATCATTAATTAATAAAATGCAAGTTAAAAAAATGAGAATTTCCACCTGTCAAAACAATTAAGATGCCTCAACTATAATTCTCACTAGGTTCAAAAAAGTCTTTAAAACATTGAAATCTTTGACTCTAATTCTTAGAATTTATCCTAAATAAACAAATTTGATTTAAAAAAATTAAGTTGTTCATTAAATGTTACTTATCATAGTAAAAAATTGACAGCAAACTAAATGTTGAACAATGGAAGAATGATTAGATAAAAAATGGCTCAAATGCTCAATGACATTTAAAAAGATTCTGTTAATGCAAAACCATTTACACTTTAAAATTAAGCCTAAAAAAAACTGAAGGTTGTAGATTTTCATATAAAAACTATCACTAATATTTTCAAACTAAAAGCCTACCTATTCGTATTTTCAAAAAATCCCAAAATCTCTACATTTAGTCATTCTTTCCTTTGGATGTTGAGATTCAATTATTTTTTTCTTCTTTCTTGTTTTTTCTTAACTTTTAAATGTCTTTCAAACTTTCTTTAAGAAATATTCACTACTTTTATAATTTTGTTAAATATTATTTGAAAGAGGTATGCGCTCTACGTGCAGTATAAACAACTAGAGTTGATTAGGAAAGACTGATAGAAGTTCAGCACTCCAAACTGGTCCCTGATCTTCATAGTGTGTCATATTGAAATTTATCTTGTCCTTTAATTACAAGTCTTTGTGTCAAGCAGTTAGCTAGGCAGAAAGTGAAAAGAAATTGCTGAGCACAGATGAAATAGAGGTCTCTGGCAGAGCTCTAGATCTTCCCTTAGCAAAGTTCTTGGAGATTATGAAAGATAATGCTTCTTGTTACATTAAACCAAGAATTGCCCTCTTGATCAAGACATTTTCTATCATAAGCCAAACACAATGCCAATCATGTTAATAACCATATGCTGATTATGGAGCATAGTGAAACACTTGAGATACGTCATTTAGGGGAAAAAAGGGCATTCTGCTAACTAAAGTTTCCTCTTTTAATTTTAAAAACATGGCCAGGATATGAGTGCAAGTACTGTTGTGTTATTTATCATAATGACATACTGAGAAAAAAATGAAATGCTCATCAATAGAGGAATAATGAAATACAGCACTGAATGTTCATCCTGTGGAATGTTATGCAGCCATTGGAAATGAGGTGGGTCCATATATTTTGAAATGGATGTTTGTAAAGAACAAATAAAATAATTCACAAGCATGTGTGTATATGCATATAATTTGGTTACTTTTAGGAAGTGGGTTGGAAAGAGCCTTCACTTTTTTATGTACTTCTGCCTTTGTTTGCATTTTTATGGTGAGAGGGTGTTGCTTTTATAACTAAAGGAGAAGGAGAGGAAAAGAAGAGGAGGAAGAAGAGGAGGAGGAGGAAGAATCAGGAGTAACAGCAGCAGAAGCAGCAGAACAAGGAAGGAAGGTGGAGAAAAGGAAGGAGAATTTGCAACTGCTGGATACAGAAGGATATGGAGCCCTTCTCTAGAGTTGGTCTTGACCATCCAGAGAGAGTGTCACACAGGAGCATTGTCTTAGTGAAAACACTGTAGGCCAGGGTATGGTTCTAAATGTTTACAGCTCAAATGTCAGTTTACCAAGAGCTGATCTATTTATGGAATGGAGGCCTAATGTTTTCTGCAAATATGAGGCAGATGTAAAAACTAGGAAACCACTGCCTACATTCATAATTAGAAATAGAAGTAAATATTGGACCAGAGCCTCACAGCCTCTGACCAGCCTAGCCCCCTCTACAACAAAGCCACTTGGGAAAGCAGAGTGGGTGAGGATGCAGACGTGGTTGCAGAACTGGACTGGGCCACTTACTGCCACTGATTTGGTCCAGTTACTTAGTGTCGGTTTACTTATCTGTAAAGTGGAGACAATAATTATCCCTCCAGTTTGCTGTGCAGAAAACAGTACACAAGTATAGTGAGCATCCTGAGGAGCATAGTAAAAGCGGGAAGAATCTGACATGAATGGCTAGCTTCAACGCTATGTATCTATTTCCCTAATGGGGATGCAGAGGACATAGAACCAAAGAATTGTATCTATAGCTGCAGTTGCGTTCATTAATTAGCAGTCAATAATTCTTAGGTATTGCTGTAATTACTATGCCAGGCAAAACACTAGGCACTAAGAATACAGCAGAGAATAAGTCAGGAAAAAAAAAAGGCTCCTGTTTCCATAGTGAGTATAATACACAGATGGTCCCTAACTTACGAAGGTGGGAGTTATGATTTTTTTACTTTATGATACACATTGGTTCAAATTTTGCATTATGATCTTTTCACAGGTTAACAATATGCATGTGGTGTGGTACTTTTTTGTGATGCTGGGCAGTGGCTTCTGTAGCTCCCAGTCAGCCTCTATCAGGACAGTAAACAAGCAAAAGAACCTTTCTATACCCACATAACTATAGTATTTCACTTTCAGTACAGTATTCAATAAATTACATGAGATATTCAATACTTCATTATAAGGTTGACTTTGTGCTAGATGGTTTTGCCCAACTATAGGCTAATGTTAAGTGT